AGTTCTGTAGAAATCTAGAGAAATAATTCCCTATTTGTAACTCCTCTCTTGACATAAAATCCTCAGATTCCCTATTCTGATATACCTGTACTAGATTCACATCCTCACATTCCATGATTTGAGGAGGCCTTATTTTTATCCCCATTCCTTTCACAGCCTGAAGCCCTTGTTCATGAGTGAACACTGTAGATTCCTCCAAAGGAAATGCTGGCTGTGAGAGTGATTCTGAATATTTCTCTTTGGTATTTGGCCTCAGAGTTAGTTCTACAGTTTCTACCATTTCTTGAAGATGTGGCCTTGGGAAGAAATCCAAACAATCCATTACATCAGTAGCTGATCCTAAGGAAACTCCTATTGGTTCTACAATCTGAGGAATTGGTAGTGGTGCTAATTCCTCAGATTTTACAATTTGAAGTGGTGGCCCTGGGATTAACACAGTCTTTACAATTTGAAAGCCTGTCAACTTCATTATATCCAAAATCTGGTGTGTTGGCTCTGTGGTTAATTCCTTTGATTTTACACTTTGCAACCACAGCCCTGAGGTAAACTCAGAAGGTCTCACATCTTGTACTTTTGGAGTCAGTTCAACATCGTCTACCATTTGAGAGGTTCCCCCTGGTGTTAATGCTACAGACTTTACAACCTGAAGTGGTGGCCAAGGAGTCACTTTCACATATTCAACAACTTTTGGGGGGCCTATTGAGGTTATTCCTATTGGTTGAGCAGCTTGAAGCTGTGTCTTTGTAGATCCCGTGACTTGATCTAGCGGCTTTGGACTAATCCTCATAAACTCTGTAATTTGACCCTGTAGTCCTGGAGCTATCTGTGAATATTTCATACTTTGATTCTGTGACTGTGTCAGCCCCATTGGTCCATCCCCTTGCTGCCATGTCTCAGATGTGAGCTCTACAGATTCTGCATGTCCTGTAGCTTGACCTGTTTGCCTTGGGGACAAATCTAAAGATTCCTCCCTTTGAAGCCATTGCTTAGAGGTTGAACCCACAGATTCAGGAACTGGATATCTTAGCCTTGGTGTCATCTCTGAAGATTCTGGGACATGATGTAATGACTTTGTAGTCAGTGCTTCTGATTCTTCCCTTTGCAGTCTTTTCTCGGAGATCACCTCCGCAAATTCTAATGCTTGAGGATAGGGCCTTGGAGTGCTCTCTGTATATCCAGTGGTTTTACTTATTGGCTTTGGGGTCATGCCAAGGAATTCCTTCTCTGTTGGCCTTGCTTTGGGGGTCAACCCCATAGTTTCTGTAGTGTGATGCTTGGGCTCTGGTGTCATCTCTTCAGATTCTGTAACTTCCTGCACTGGCCTTGTATATGATTCCCCCAAGTCCTTAACTTGAGGCCATGACTGAGAGAGCAACTCGAGAGTTTCTGGGATTTTCTTTAAGGTTAATTCTAAGGATTCAGAGCCTTGATTCCTTAGCACATGAGTCAGGTGAACAGATTCTGGGACTTGAAGATCTAGTCTTAGAGGCACTCCTGAAGATTCCATGGTTTTACTTGTTGACTTTGGGGTCAACCCCACAGATTTTTCCACAGTTTCACTGCCTTGATGTGCCAAACTTTCTGTGGTATGATAAATTGGTACTGAAATCAAATTTACAGATTTGGAGACTTGATGCTTTGGTGTTGGGATCACCAGATTCACAGATTTAGGGACTTGAGGCTTTGGTGTTGGGATCATCTCTGCACCTTCTACAAATTGATGCCCTGGCCTAGGGATTATCTCAGAGGAGTCTGTCATTTGATAGCTCCTCTTTGGAGTTAGTTCCTCAGATTTTGTTCTTGGAAGCAGTGACCCCGGTAGTAACTCTACAGATTTCATATCTTGTTGCAGAGATGCTGAAGACAATGTCACATGTTTTATACTTTGCAACTTTGCTTCTGGAGTAAACTCCAAAGGTTTCTCACTTTGTCGCTTTGATTCTGGAGACAAATTTGAAAATTTAACACTACGCAACATGGGTCCTGGTATGAACTTCTTAGTTGGCTCTGGTGCCAACACTGTTGATTTCATACCTTGCCATCCTGAAGTCAACTCTTGGCAATTCATACCTTGCTGTGGGGACCCTGGTGTCAACTCTACAGATTTCACATCTTGAAAACATAGTTCCAGTGCAAAGACCTCAGAATTAACACTTGGTGACCTTAGGCATGATGGAAACCCTGAAGAATTAGCACTTGGAGGCTGTAGCTGTAGGTTTGAATTCAACAATGTCACATCTTGAGAACATGGCTCTGATTCAAACACCACAGATTTCTGCCTGAGGCAAGAAATCAAATCCTTAGAATTCACATCTTGAGGTTGTGGCCCTGGTTTCAACTCCAGAGATTTCACATCTTGAAAACACAACTTTGATGCAAACACCACAGATCTCTCACTGTGCTGCCTGAGGTGTGAGGGCAACTCCCCAGAATTCATACCTTGAGGATGTGGCCCTGGATTTAACTCCACAGATTTCACTTTTGTAAAACACGGCTCTAGTGCAAACATCTCACATTTCAAGTCCTGCAGCTCAGAGCCTGAAGCCAGTTCCACCACAAGACACTGGCTCTTTGTTCATCTTCACAGACTTTACATCTTCAAGCAGTGGCTTTGGTAAAAATAACACAGATTTCATACCATTCAGAGAAGAGCCTAAAGTGAACACTGAGTGCACAACTTGTTGCTGTGACCCACAGTGATTCTCCAAAAACTGGATTTCTGGAAACTTTGCCCCTGGGATTTACTCAGAAGATTTTACACCTTGCAAATGTGGTCCAGGGTTGAACAGAATAGATTTGTACCTTGATATTCTGATGTAGGATTCAAGTCAGAGGGTTTCATGCCTTGCGTCTCTGGGTCTGGATTAAACTTTATAGCATTTATGCATTGAAGTTCTGACCCAAAATTCAAATCAGAAGAATTCACACCTTGCAGCTGTGGGGCACAGTTTAATTCTTGTGATGTTATACCTTGAAACTTTGTCCCTGGACTCAATTCACATTTCACATTTTGTAAATGTTGCACAGCGTCGAACATAAGAGATTTTATACCTAGAACTTCTGACCCCAGATTCAAATCAAAAGATCCCATACCTTGACATTTAACCCCTGAAGTCAACTCAAAAGATTGTATACCTTGCAAAGGTGGCCCAAGTTCATACCCCATAGAATTAGCACATTGTAATTTGGGCTCTGGATCCAACTCCAAAGAATTTACACACTTCATCTGTGGCCCAGGGTTGCACTCCATAGGTGCTACAGCAAGAAACTTTGACCCTGGAATCAATTCGGATTTTAAATCTTGTAAATGTGGTTCAGCACTGAACACCATAGATGTCTCACTTTGATTCTTGGACCCCAGATTCACCTGAGATCCTGGACCTTGACATTTTGTCCCTGAAGTCAATTCAAAGGACTGTACACCTTGCAAAGGTGGTCCAAGTTTGCATCCCATAGAATTTGCACATTGTAATTTTGGCTCTGGATTCAACTTAGAAGAATTTACACACTTCATCTGTGGCTCAGGGTTGCATTCCATAGGTGATATAGCAAGAAACTTTGACCCTGGAATCAACTCAGATTTCAAATCTTGCAAATGTGGATCAAGGTTGAACACCATAGTTGTCTCCCTTGGGATCTCTGAACTCAACTCAGAAGACTTTGTACCTTGAAGTTTTGAAACTGAAGTTAATTCAGGAGGGTTTATACCTTGCAAGGGTGGCTCAGATTTGCATCCAACAGAATTTACACACTGAAGTTTTGGTTTTGAAATAAATGCAGAAGAATTCACATCCTGCAAAGGTGGCCCAGGGCAGAACACCTGGGATTTCATACCTCAAGGCTCTGATCCAGAATTCAACTCAGATTTCACACCATTGTACTGAATGCCCTAACATTTATACACTGAAGCTGTGGGGCTAGATTAAATTCAGGGGATTTCCCACCTTGTAATTTAGGCTGATGCTTTGTTTCCAGAAATGGCTCATATGGAAGCTTCCTGTCTGTGCACAACTCAGGTTTTATCTCTTGTAACTGGCCCAGGATTGAACTTGAAAGATGGCATACCTTGAAGCCTTGATCCCTGGCATAACTCAGAGGATTTAACATCTTGCCACTGTTGCTCAGGATTGGATTCCTTAGATTTCACATCTTGGAGCTTTGTCTCTTTGCACAATTCTGAAAATTTTATATGTTGCAAATGTGGTCCAGGGCTGTATACCACAAATTTCACACATTGAAGCTCTGGCCATGGTTTCAACTTAGAAGACTTCTTTTCTTGCCGCTGCTTCCCAGCATTGAACTCGGAGATATCACATTGCAAATCTTTGATTCCAAGGCTAACTCAGAGGGTTTTGCGACCTGGAACTCTAGGCCCTGGTTGACCTCTGTGGTTTTCATTATTTGAAGCTTTACAGACTCAGGAGATTTTGCACCTTTCAACTTTGCCCCAGGGCTGAATTTCAGAGATTTCATGCCTTGAATGTGTGATCCTGGTGTCAACGTAGTCAATTTCCTATTTTGTAACTGTGGGACTGACTCAAACCCCAAAGATTTCACATCTTGGGTCTTTGCACCTAGAGTCAATTCAAGAGGCTTCATGTCTTTCCACGTGGGTCTGGTAAGAAACTCCACAGATTCTCCACTTCGAATCTTTTTTTTTTTTTTAAGATTTTATTTATTTGTCAGAGAGAGAGAGGGAGAGAAAGCAAGCACAGGCAGACAGAATGGGGCAGAGGCAGAGGGAGAAGCAGGCTCCCTGACGAGCAAGGAGCCCGATGTGGGACTCGATCCCAGGATGCCGGGATCATGACCTGAGCCGAAGGCAGCTGCCCAACCAACTGAGCCACCCAGGCGTCCCCGAAGCTTTGTTTTTGGTGCTAACTCAGAAGATGGTACACCTTGTAACTGCAGAGCCAGTTTTAACTCAACAGATTTCAAATCTTGGAGCCTGCACTCTAGCATCAAATCAGATTTCTCACCTTGTTTCTGTGGTCCGGGGTTGAACTCCACAGATTTCACACCTTGAAGCTTCCTCATCTGAATTAAGTCAGATTTCCCACCTTGTAGCTTTGGACCGTGGTTGAACTCAGAGGGTTTCACTTGTTGAAGTTTTGACTCTGGGATCACTTCAGAAGATCTCATACCTTGCAAGTGTGATCTAGAAGCAAACCCTGCCAATTTTTTATCTTGAAGCTTTATACCCATGATCAACTCAGAATATTTCACATCTTGTAACTGTGGGCCTGCTTTCATACCTGAAAACTTCGGTCCTAGATTCAGATGAACAAACTTCATACTTTGGGACTCTGGGTTCAACACTTCTGGATTCATTCCTTGCATCTCTGATCCTGGTACCAACTCTGGAGATTCTTGTATTATGTGTTGAGGCATTCGAGTCTCCAAGGCTTTTACACCTTGGAGCATAGTCTCAAGAGCACCTTGGAATGGCACTGAGTTTGCCTGCATAGATTCTGAAGTCTAGTTCAATGGCCCTGGAGTACTTCTTAAAGATGATTGTGTCAAAACCATAGATTCTTTCCTGAGGTGACAAGGGTCGGAAGTCAGCTCTACTTCTGCTCCTTGATATCCTGGCTCTGGGATCATTCCTGAAGATTCCAAAGCTTGATGCCATGGGGTTAATCCTTAAGGTTCTATGGCTTGATGATTTGGCTTGAGGTTCAGCTCTGCAGATTTTACTGCTTGAATGTGTGCCCCTGAGATCAGCTCCTCATATTTCATACTTTCCACCTGTGTTTCAGGAATCACATTTCTACATTCTACCACTTGAGGAAATTTCACATCTTTAAGCAATAGTACTGGGGCTGTCTCCTTAGATCTTTCATCTTGTAACCATGGCTTTGAGGCAAACTCCATGGATTTCTTCTCTTCCTGTGGTGGTCTTAGGATCAGCTCCACAGCTTTTGTATCTGAAAACTTTGATGGTAGGGCCAAATGAACATATTCCAGACCTTGCAACTGTGAATTGTGGGTCAAATCTAGCGATTTCCTATTTTGCAACTGTGGTGCCTGGGCTAACTCAGCAGATTTTCCACTTTGTTGTTGTGTTCCTAGGGTAAAATGAATAGATTTCACACCTTGAAGCTGAGACCCTGGGGCTAACTGTACAGAATTCCCACTTTCCAGCTGTGAAATAGGAGCCAACTCATTAGATGTTACAATCTGCAGTTGAAGTTCTGGGGCCAATTCTCTAGGGCTCACTGTTGGGATCAGCTGTCCATATTTCACCATCTGTGGGACCGAAACCTGGAGTCATGTCTACAGATGTTACATTGTGCAATCCTGGGGGTAACGTCATAGAATCCACAGTCTTTTTTTTTTTTTTTTTTTAAGATTTTTTTTTTTAATTTATTTGACAGATCACAAGTAGGCAGAGAGGCAGGCAGAGAGAGACAGGAGGAGGCAGGCTCCCTGCTGAGCAGAGAGCCCGATGCGGGACTCGATCCCAGGACCCCGAGATCATGACCCGAGCCAAAGGCAGAGGCCTTAACCACTGAGCCACCCAGGTGCCCCTAGAATCCACAGTCTTAAGTTGTGGCATTGGCTTCACCCCCAAATATTCTGCACCTGGAAGTAGAGATGTGGTGGTCATTACTGCAGATTCTGTGACTTGATGCAGTGGCTTTTGGCTCATTTCTTTAGATGCTGTTCTTTGACCCAGTGATCTTGGGACTGTCCCTAAATGTTCAATTATTTGATGATGTGACTGTTTTGACTCAGTCAGATTTCTGATTATGGGGTCAGAAGCTGACCCCATAGTTTCCATCATTTGATGGCTTTGCCTTGGACTCATCTCTGAAGATTCTAAGATCCGATGCCATGGGGTCAAACTTGGAGATTCCATGACTTGATGAGGTAGCCCTGGGGTTAATGCTGTAGTCTTTGTGCCTTGAACATATGGTTGTGGAGTCAACTCTACAGAGTCTCGCACTTGAATCCATGACCCAGGAGTCAACTCCAGAGGTTTCCTGACTTGAGATACTGGCCTTGAGATCAAATCCTGAGTTTCTGCAACTTGTGATTGTGGTGTTATGATCATTCCCGTGGATGACCCCAATGCTACTGGAGTTACCTTTAAAGAATGTATGGATTGATGTGATGGCA